ATTTGCATGCAGATCCTCATTGGAAACCCTTTCAGACATGCTCAGACACACCGGTGAGATCTGCAAGGCTGTGGCCAGCCAGCAATTGTAAAAACATTCTTTGGTGCAAAAAGACTCAGAGTGAGCTGTGTCCCAGCCTGGCCCAGGATTTGATATTAGCAGTGTTTTCCTACAGAAACATGCATCTCAGTGCCTCATGGCAGCTCACAAACACAATACTGCATCTCCAAGCAACAACAGTGTCTGCCAGGCATGGGGTGACGGTGGGTCTGTGCTGATTCAAGAGAACAAAACAGGCTTGGATGGAGATGCCCCAGTTGTTCGAACTTAACACTGCTTACTTCAGAGCAGGAACAGAGCCGCTATCAGGGACAAAAATAAACACCACTTGTTGTTCAAAGCTTTCAAAAGAAGAGCAGGAGCAGAGCACAGTGAGTGCCCTTCTCTTTTGATTGCCATCTCTACCAAGAAGCAGGGCGAAGGCACAGGCATATGGGGTTTTATTCTTCTTTAATTTCTTACAGTTGCATTCCCTTCTGTCCCAGCCACTCCTCTCCAGTGGGTGTTTGCCCACATTATTGCTTCCTACTACGATTTCTGTGACACAATGCCAAGTACAGCTTTGCTGCTGCCAGTCCAGGACATGCATGCGTGGTCTACAGGAGAGCTCATCTCTTTTATTAGACCAAATGATGCACTTGGAAAGAACAGAGAAGCTTTGGTGCCCCAGAACTTACCTGCCTGTTTCTTTCCCCATGTCCAGTGCTCCACAGCAGGGACCTCTCCCTGCAGCCCTGGGCCGCTTCCTGCCTGCTCAATGAGCACAGGATGGGGCTCCCAGGGGTGGGAGTTGGGAGGGAGCTCTGAGCTCAGGTGTGCTGAGCAAACTGCTTGTCCAAATGCCTCTGGATGACATCACATCAGCTCCAGAGCGCTGTCAGAGGTCCCTGTGCTGCACACCCAGCCCCATGACGCACAGAATGGCTGCTGCTTCTGCTCAGCTGTGGCTGTCCTAGGCAGCCTCTGAGCCCAGAGAAACCCAGTGGAGGCTGCAGGTCTCAGTTGCCAAGGCCGACAAGCCCTGCTCAGAGGACAACATGGCAGCAGAAAGTGGAGGCTGAAAGGCCATGGGACAGGGAGGCTGAGAGGTTGCCCACAAGCCATCATGGACACACTGGCAGTGCACGAGAGGCAGCCAGAGCTGTGATTCCCTGAATCGTCCTCCCAGATGGGTGGTGAGCTGCCCAGGTACAGAGCTGCCCAGAGGTACACCCACATCTGTTCTGTGGTTGCTCAGGGCCAACTGAAGTTGATCTCGGTTGGAATCGAAGCTGCTGGTGAACAGCTCCTGGCCTGCAGGCAGCTAGGCTGAATCTCTGCTGAGGTTTCACAACTAAGGTGGTGCAGCAACATCCTCTGCTAGCAAGGCAAGGAAGGAGTTAGGAAACCTGAGGTCACCCTTTTTGCCTACCTGTGTCTCTATCACCCAAAGAGGACGCAGGATGAGAGCTCCCCACACAAAACACCTCAGCCTGCCAGTCTGCAGCACCCACCTGCCCAGCACTAGAACCGCAAGACTGACAGTCTCCCTGTGACTGTGCAGGCTTCCTCCGAGTGCTCAGCTTCCTCCGAGTTCCTCAGCTTTGTTTTCTGCCTGAAACAAGCCATTGCACTAACACAGATCTCACACTGCTTGTGTGCCTCATGAAGAACACCTTTCCCTGGAGACCTTCCATGTTTACATCTCCTCTGTGCCACCAGGGACCAAACTTCTCCCAGATCCTGGCCCTGTGGCTGCTCATCGTGACCAAGGACACTGAGTGCAGGAGCGCACCAGCCAGCTGTCACACACAGGTAGGTGTCTTGTCACTGCTGTTGTACCAGTGAGAAATGGCTGCTGTGAGGCCATTCCTAGGGGATTTGGAGCAGGCGGTCCTGCTGGCTCTGCTCTCCTACAGCTTTATTCCAGATTCACTTTCATAAGATGAAAAAATCATTACTGTGGATGAGTTCCCAGAGCATAACATCTGCTCATCATCCAAGGCCAAGAGAGATAAGGAGAAGAGAGAAAAGGAGAGCCATGCACTCACAAGGCAGAAAATAAAAGGAAAAGAGGAGAAAAAGCAAAGAACTAAAACCAATAATGAAGCAGCTCCTCTTCCCCAGCTGCCTCTGCCTACCCGGTGCTCCGCAGGGCCCACTGAGCAGTGCTGCCCAGAGCTGCCTTGCTGCTGGTCTCAGGGTAATCCTGTGGGACACGGCCTGCAGGCACCCCATGGCACACAGACCAGCCCAAATTGACTCCTCTGGCCCCATGAAGAGATCTCACCCCCTCGACCTGTAATGGAGACAGGCTGCCTGCATACAGGTGGGCACCCGCAGCCTGCAGCAGGGGGATTCTTGGGGGCAAGCCACACATCTGGCATAGCTCCTTACAGTTGCTTCAGCCAGAAATGGGTCGTAAAATCCACGCATCTCACTTTCTTTTCTTCCTTATTTTCTTTTTATTCAATAGGGAGAACATTGCTCATCCTAAAACATTTCTTAAAGACGAGGGGAAAAAAAAGCATGACAGCGATTCATTCACACAAAGCCAATTTTATCCGGAAGTTTCCATTTATTTGCCACAAAACTAATTAATTTAAAATCAAATGGGAACGATTCAAAACAAAGAAAAAAACTCCAAAGATTTTCCCCTCCCTCAGACCAAGACAACTGCCCATCCTTTCAGATTGCTGCTCCGCTCTAATGGCTGCAGCAGATTTATGCCTGTGTAAGGGAGCTATTAATTAACCTCAAAGATTTATTTTTCCCTGGAAGAAGCCGCCGTCTGGCCCTGCTCCAAAGGGACAAGCCTCCTTGCTGGTAACCAGAGGCTGATTCCTGAGGGGTGAAATCAAGTGCTGCCTGGAGGAGGGGCAGGCCTGGGACACCATGCTTTTACATCACGGTTTTGTAAGGCTTCCTTACTGCAGCAAAGTATATGAGCCAGTGTGCGACAGTCAGGAGGAAACCAGTGTTAGGGATAAGGAGAAAAGGGTTTTGCATGAGAAAGATTAGGGTCTCCTGCCAGGGAATGAGAATTCAGGGGTATGAGGTCTACAGAATCCCAGAAGCATAGAGGGTACATGGAGGGGCCTGGCAATGGAGTGGAGATGAAATGGAGGAGCTGGGCCTTGCCTCAGCTGATGAACTTGTTACCTCAGGGAACTGCGGAGGTGCAGAAGGAAAATGGATCAGACTGATCCAGTATAAGGCCAGGATAAAGCCAGTGATAGTGATTAAAAAATAATTAATGAAGGATAAACGCTTCTTTAGACATGGTGAGAAAGTGGCTCTACAGATATCTTTAATTAAAAGTTGGGGAAGAGAAGTGGCTGAAAATACCTGCTCAAGACAGTTAGGAGTTGTCAAAAAGCCTGGAATAAATGAGTAATTGTGATTTAAAAAATAAGAGTTTGATTACTAACAAGAAGCTCTCTGCCATGTACTGGGTTACAGAGCCATGGCAGAGATATGGGAGCCTGAGGGGCTAGCAGAGACTCCAGCACAAGAGCTGGATGAGGAAGGGCATCAGCACTCACCTCCATCAGCTAAATGGCTCCAATACATGGCAAGCATATGGAGCCTCCTGTGCTGCAGATCCTTCACGGGCACTGCCCCAGGCTCAAATCTAATTCCCTCTGTACTCAGCCCCAGTGAGGCTGCACCTCAAGTACTGAGTTCAGTTTTGGACTCTACAAGAATGACATGGAGGCCCTGGAGTGTACCCAGGGAAGGGCAATGAATTTGGTGAAGGGTCTGCAGCACAAAACTTATGGGGAGTGGCTGAGGGAACTGGAATTGTTCAGTCTGGAGAAGAGGAGGCACTCAGAGGAGACCTTGTTGCCTGAGCTTGGCCTCTCCTCCCAGGTAACAATGATAGGATGAGAAGGAATGGCCTCAAGTTGTGCCAGGGGAGGGAGGTTCAGGTTGAATAATAGGAATAATTTCTTCTCAGAGAGAGTGATAATGCATCGGAAAAGGCTGCCAAGGGAGGTGGAAGAGTCACCATCCCTGGAGGTGTTTACGGAAAGAGTAGATGTGGTACTTAGGGACATGGTTTATTGGGTCTTTTCCAACCTTAATGAATCTATGGTTTTATGATTCTATGAACAAAAAGAATTCTTCCTAAATAGCTGGAGAAGAAAGGATGGGTTTTGTTTTTTCCAAAGTTCATGCTTCTGTGCTTGATACACAAACTGCACTAGAACAGCTGCCTTTTTAATTTGCCTTAACATTGCAAGATACAACAGAATTAAAATGCTACAATCAACAAGGCAAATACACTTTACTACATTTGTGGTTTGGATGGCTATTAAGAACATATCTCTTCTTGCAGTGAAGAAAAAGCCAGGGAGAGAAACACTTCCAGCCAGAAATGGCTGTGTGTGACTCAGCGAACTGAAGAAGAGGTCAGTGCATGCCCTGCTGCTCAGTACCAGCTCACTCTGAGCACCACAGCAATGAGGGCTACTTACCAAACTGCTGCCAAATCCTGTGCCTGCAGTTCAGACCTGGGGTCTGGGAGTGCGGCAGGCAGCAAATGGCTGCTGTGACTGATCACAGAATCAAAGAATCACAGAATCACAGAATCACAGAATCACCCGGGTTGGAAGGGACCTCAAGGATCATGTAGTTCCAACCCCCCTGCCTAGCAGGGCCACCAAACACACACATTCAGATCAGGTTGCCCAGGACCCCGTCCAACCTGGCCTTAAACACATCCAAGGACGGGGCATCCACAACCTCCCTGGGCAGCCCATTCCAGGGCCTAACCACTCTCCTTGTATAGAACTTCCCCCTAACATCCAACCTAAATCTTCCCTCCTTCAACTTGGATCCATTTCCCCTAGTCCTGCTGTTGTCAGCCCTTTTGAAGAGTTTACTCCCCTCGTGGGTGTAGGTTCCCTTCAGGTATTGATAGGCTGCAATGAGGTCACCCCGCAGCCTTCTCTTCTCCAGGCTGAACAAGCCCAACTCCCTCAGCCTGTCCTCATAATGACTGATGTATACCTGGAGCAAAGCAGAGGCACACAGCGAGGCTTGCATCCTCTGTTGCAAACCTGCGCCAGCAGTGAGTGGGGTTACTTCTGTGAGAGAACAGAAAGCAGCAAATGCCTCCTCCTACTCACAGCTACGGAGCGTGCAGCCAGAGCAGCTTTGCCTTTCCCGGAGCATTAGAAAAAGGCTGGGGTGAACAAACGCACAGAGGCAGGCCTACATATCAGGCTGTGCTCTAAGAGATGAGAATAAAAAGTGGCTGCAATTAACGGAAGGGCCACTTTCTCCTTTCCAATCAAAGATATAACAGGCAATATTTTAAGACCATGAGTAGGAGTCCTTTTGTTGGATAATTCACAGGGACTGCTCATTAGCTCTGCTGGAAAGCACAGCGAGTCTTAGGCAGGCAACCGAGTTACGTTAGAACAACACCGCAAAAAACAAAAACAAAACAACCAGAAGAAAACAGCAACAAAAACCAGGCTTGTGGCGTGCATCTCAAGAGCTGGGAGTACGCCCATCATCTGAAGGTTACTCGATAATGTGGGGACATGTGAAGCTCGCCATTCCTTTGCTGGAGCTGCAGGAGGGCTGCATAGACAGCACTGCACAGAGGTGGCTGCAGCACGGTCACCTCACTCAGGGCACTGCTCTGCTCCTCTGCGCACCCCTTCCAGGGGCCCAGCTTATAGCACAGGGGCATCCCTCCCTTTGGGGGACCAAGCACTGAGGTCTATCTCACATAAAAGAGAAGGGTATGGAAACAATCAGCTGTTGATAAATGGCTCAGACTCAAAGCACTTCCTCATGGTGACCACCTACTACCTATAGTGCCTCTCAAAAAGGGACTAAAAACACAGCAATCAGAAACAACCATAGGTTTGGGGAGGACTTTTCTTCTTTCATCAGATGACAGCTTTATTACATAATCCAAATTCATTTGGAGCCCCAACTTCTAATACTTTGGAGCTTTTATTCATTACCCTTTTGCCTTTTAAAATTCACTTTACAGCTTAATTCTTAGCCATGATTCAGTATTTTCATCAGTGTTAACTAAACGGGGGGGGGGGGAGGAAAGGGGGGGGGAGAGAGCATTTGCAGTTCTAGCCGATTAAGCGTTTATTCCTCATTGTTTTAAATGCATGAAAGTCAACCCAGTTGTTTTGTTTGATCCTCTCCATGCAACAATGAGCTCTGTGCTGTTAAGGCTGTAAATGGGCCACATCACTCATGAATTACTAATCCCCATCACTCACATTTTCTGGGGAATGTACACTATATTTAGTCCTCAGACTTGGAAAAACAAGGCTGGAGAACTTTGAGGCTCTCTTTTCTCATAAAGAGTCTTTAAAATATTCCGTAAAAACTGGCAAGATAATTTATCCACTGTGTATAAATGCAATTCATTAACCGTGGTGGAAATTAGACCCTTGAATTGAGAGGCTAATTAAGACATTTAGATATAGATCCTGAAAGGAAACTACGCAGACATTTCTTAAAATCTCATTTACAGCTCTGTAAATCTGGCCCAACCCCACTGTCATTTTTTGGATTTATACCCAAGTAATTGAAACCACTACTGAGCTCTTCTAAGCTCTCCATATCAGCAAAAGGCATTGAAGTAAAACAATTAGCAGATAGGTTGTGCTTTTCACTGTTGCTTCTAGAGGAACTCAGTAGCACAATGCTGAGACTTCAGGGGTAATTTGCCATTCTGATGGATTGTTTGTCTAAAAAAAAAAAAGCGTGATGAATTTAGTGGGCCATCATCAATACAAGGAGCTGCCAACCCTACAGCATTAGCAAATGAAGAGAGCTGGAAAGCTTCAGCTTCTACTACTGTCCCTTCCAGGATGACCATTACTTTTAATGAGTGGCCTGTTTCCACTACCAGCTGCACCAGGACTGCAGCTTGGAGCAAGTAAAAACACTGAATGAAAGCTCTATACAACTCATGAAGAGAAGCATACAAGTTCAGATGGGGGGACACAGCACATTTACACACAGCTATGGATGACAGTGTGCCTCTTCTGCACTGCTGGCTGCTGTGCAGTCCCCAGTGCATGGAGTCCCTCCTCGCTTGTGCTCTACAGGGACAAGTGGGCAGATCTCTGGCTATGTGAGCTGTTCCCCCATCCCATCCCATCCCATCCCATCCCATCCCATCCCATCCCATCCCATCCCATCC